AATCCCCAACCAAAGTCCCCCCCAGGGCCTGGACTCCACCCCCAAGAATCCTCAGCGCTGGCTGGGGAATTCTGGGAGTTGAAGTCCACACATCTTAAAGTTGCCAAGGTTGAGAAACACAGGTTTAAACACTGAGCTGGAAAGATCAGCAATGGGACGAGTGGAAAAACTGGGGAGGTTGAGGTCCAGCCTGGTCTGCGATGAAACAGAAGCAAAACAAACAATGGGAATTTACAAATAAATAAAGCAACTGGAAAATGACACAAATGGGTGTTCTTTGCAGAAGCTGTGCAGGGTGTAACAGCTCTTTAGGGTGCACCGTTCAGGGTATGCATTGCTATTCTCTCTCCTCCCAGATCCCTCCCAACACACACACCAGTGCTGTAACTGGTTATAGCGGGCATTTCTACATGTTGGCAAGTTGGCATATTGACATATCAGAATAATACGAAACGTGGATAATAGTAACCGGGTTTTCCATGTTGGGGAGGGTCCAAAAAGCGAAGATGGTGGTGAGATTGTGCAATAAAAGCCCTGCCCCTTGCAATACATGTAAAAAAGGGGTCAGATCTTCAATGGCACAATCGGCGCGGTCATCTTGATTTTTTTAACGGCCACCACCCACTTACCCATGAACAGCGAGCTTTAAAAAAAAAGCCATTTTGAAGTTGAGAAACCTGTACAAAAACAGTCATAAAAGTTCACCTATCATGCTAAACCTTCTTGGGGTTTTTGGGGGGTAGGTTGGCCATTTCCCCACCTTTATCTAGAATTGGGGAGCGGCTTCACAAAAGTTACCTCAAGCCAATTGGAGGCTTAGCATCATTACCTTATATTGGAAGAGGGACACTGAGAATTCTTCCCATTTTGAGATGTTTTGAGATGCTGATCCCCTACAATTTCCAAGGCTTGATATCATACAAATCACATTTCTTCCACAAACCAAGGTTCCGAAACCATGGCTCAGAGTTACACCGGAATGTAGGTTTCCTCTCCCGCTTTATCGGCAGAACCAAAACCATCACTGAGGCTGCAAGACTGTCCAGGTGAGGTTTCTTTCAGCCTTGTGCTTTAGATCTGCAGAAAAGCAGGCATCTGGGACTGCAGGCTGTCCCAAATCTGCAGATGGCCCAAACCAGACACTGGAACAGAAGTAGCTCTTTGTAGCCGTGCCCATTAATTACAAATTGTAATTAGGAATTACAATACATTGTTTGCTTAAGCCAACCAGGACAAGCCCTTGCTTCATTGCAGTGAACAGCTGAAGCTGCAGGGGGAGTTCTCCATGAGGTCCTCAGGCAAAACCCTTTGGAAGAAGGATGGACTGGTCACTTCAGGCAGAACGGGGACAAGACCAAACGGAGTGGAGAAGAAGCAGCTTGGTGCCCTTTTCTCCTTTGTGAACTGCCAAGGGCTTCGATCCCCAGCTTGCAGCATCAACCCAAGAAGGGACCAAAGACTTGGACTTCACCTCCCCATCAGAAGCCCAAGCAAAACTTTAATATTTCAACATGGAGATGCTGCTGTGGGTTATATGTCTTGCTGCCACCATCTGCTTCGCCTTCCTTGATGGCTGGTACTTATTGAGGTTCCTCATCATCGTCTTCTACAACAGCTGGGTGCGCCCCAGAACTGGAGATCTGCTGGAAGAATTCCGGTTCCATAGCTGGGTCCTGCCCACCGACCTGGACTTCATGGGGCACATGAATAATGCACGCTACCCCCGGGAGGCTGATTTTGCCCGTTACGCCTACATGTCCCACTACCATCTCGTGCAGACCCTCTGGGCCCTGAAGGGCAGCACGGTGCTGACTGCCTCCTGTTGCCGCTACCGACGTTCTCTGCACCTGTGGGAACGCTTCACCATCCACACGCGCATGGTGGGCTGGGACGAACATGCTTTCTACTTGGAGCAACAGTTCATCAGCGCCCAAGATGGATTTCTCTGTGCCGTATTGCTTGCCCGGCATCACGTGACTGGCCCTTCTCCCAGTGAAGTCATCCAGCGTCTGTACGGGAGGAAGGTAAGGCTTCCAAACACGTTGGGAAAAGGGGGTGGGGTTGGTGGCCTTGGGCACACATCCGTATGTCAGCCCATCAACATGTACAGAATTCAGGACACGGTCCCTAAATGCTTAGCACATTCTGGGGCAGAAAGAAGAATCTCCACAGATTCTGCTAAACCATTAGAGAGTTTCGAAGCCCTTCCTCACACTGGAAGGAGGTATTCCTTGGCCCCCAAAGCTTTGCTCCTGACGTCATTTCCATTAATGACTCGGACTAAGAGGAGGAGGGAACGATCGAGCTGGTTAGCATCGGAACCTGGTCAGGACAGCCGATGCACCAGCAGAGGGAAGCCGCTTTCAAATCCAGCCTGATAACAGGGCTGAAAAGGAAAGAATGGAAGAACAGAGACAAACGCAGAATCCTCCACTAGGAAAAAGACGGCTAATGCACGGACGTCAGGAGAGGAGAGGAGCGGCTTATTTATAATTCATGCATGTATTGCAATTCTTTGCACGCTGCCTGCTCGAGTGACTCTAGGCGGCTAAGAATAGTACATCCAAAACTCCCATAAAATCCAAAACGTGAAAAACATCCGCTCTTAAAAAAAAGCTGCTTCTGTCTTCCAGTTTCCCAGAAGCCCTGTGGAAGAATAACTAAGATACGGAACTCATCCAAGGGCTAGTGTAAATGTGTTGTTGTTGCCAGGGGTGGGAGGTGTAGTAAGTCTTGTATTTAGGGTTTTTATTTCTATTAGCTGCCTGGAGTCACCGTAAGTGAGTTGGGTGGCCATAGGAAGGAAGGAAGGAAGGAAATCTTCAACTGCTTCCTAAAAGATAAAGGGGGGAGAGAGAGAGAGAGCAGCTAAGCTATTCCACAGTGGGGAGGGCGGCTGCTGAGCATGCATTTTTCCAGGTCCTCTTCTTCCTGATCTCTGTGTCATTATGTGTCAAAAGGATCTTGGACTTATAGTTAATTACAAGAGCCAGCCACGTTATGCAGCTGCAAATGAGGCAAATACGATTTTAGGCTGCCTCAGCCAAAATATACTTTCAGAAACAAGGGAATAGAACAGTTCCTGACTCTTCTTGTTGGCCAGGCTTTATCTCACAACTCTGAAAGCAGATTCCAGCTGAATATTAGGAAAAGAATTGAGGAATGAAAAAAAAAAAATCAGCCAGCTGCTATGAGCTGAGCTTCTCTATAGAAAATGTGGATTTCACCTCTAGATCGTTTTTATGCCTTCTCTAAAAAGATTGCTTGCTTGTTAGTATTTGTTAGCTCTCACATAAAGTGCAGTCAAGTTTGCATTCTCTGGAGAACATTTTAATCTCATTAAATTAAAAGGATAAAGATCAGACATTTGGTTTCAGCACAACTTATCCTTCATCATGAATCATGCCTGTGAAAAGGCGCTCCTCACTCAAATATATTTTTCAAACTTCAGTATGCAACATATTCTAAATTCCCCGTGTGTAAAATTCTTTATCATTTATACCTTGCACAATACATTTTCCTCATTCATTATAAGTGAAAGCTTTATGTACCCTTTTGACCCAGATAAATACTGGGTTCCTGGTTTAATTATTTCATTGTGAGGCATGGAGTTTATGTTAACATTTTTTATTATTATTATTAACGTAACTTTCGACTTGCTGCTTAACTTACTGCACGTTTACTAAAATCCTCTTAGTTTGGAGTCTGAATATCCTATTTTTTATGAAACATTTTTTGTTATACTTGACAACATTTCATAACAAAGCAGCCTCCATTCATGGACACAAGCTAAGAGTTTGTGTTCCTGGCAATTTCAGTTTTTTTTTTTAAAATCACAACAGAAGATCTTCTCTGAGGTAGCATCTCGGTAGAAAATGGGATCCTTTTTGACTGCACAGATTTTTTTTCCTCTCTCCTTTTTTTTTAGTGTAATTGCCCTTAGTCGTCTTAAACCATTTGCTCTGTTTAGATCTTAGAAGGTTGTATTATGAACTTGGTGGTCGATCACTAACCCAATGTCCTTTTCGTGATGAAAGTAAGGGATAAAAGTGTTTTAAGTGCCTGCCTTAGCTTCTGCTCTTCCAAATAATATCCATGGCGTTTTGGTTTTGTTTTTCGAGCCGTGGGCGACATGCAAGTTCCAGTTCCAAAATGTTCTCCAGAAGGTACCAATGAAGAGAAAGACAGACATCCTGGAATGGACATATCAGCTCATTCCAAGGAAAAGATGGAAGATTCCAAAAATACTGAGAGGCACCAGGACTCAAATCTACAGCTTTGCCCATCCCTGTTAAGTTCCCCATCCCCCTCCACCGCCTCCTTGTAACCTCTTCTGTGATTTAATTGCAGGTGGAATCCCCAGAAGTCCCTGAAGATGTCCACTACTGGCTGAAAAGTAACCAAGCCAGCAGCCAAAGACTACGAGTAGAAAGTGATCTCCAGAAAAATGGCAAAACCAAGTAGGAGGTTTCTCAAATCTGCTGCCAGGTCTTCTTCAGAAAGGGTTGGGTCACCTTTTCTTCCATATAAATCCAAAAAGATGCCATTAATAATCCTATCCTAGGTTTTGTGCGAACCGCCCAGAGTCCCCCA